GTAAAAAATTTCTACTTTGGCTTTATTGATTTATTTTGACAAAACAAAGGAGGCACTTTCAGGGGCAGCTTTGCTTTGAGGCCAGACGGGTGGTTGGATGGGAGATGCTCCTTCGACGCGAGTGCACACAGTGTGTGTTTATTCAGGGTAACTAGATAATAAAGTTGATTATTATCTTGAGATTTTAAGGTCCGTTCAGGTGTGGACGTTAAGGGACATCACCAAACGCAGCGTTTTCTTCCCGTGCGTCCCATTGCCTGATGGCACATGGATTGAGCTGAGCTTTCTTGCATTCCCAGTGGATGAGAATATAAAGGAGTGTTCTTTGTAGTATAAACTGCTATAAATGTTTGTTAATTGCTTGATTTGGAAGAAACCACTCATCTGTGTTTGTTGTAACCTAGTTAAATGTCAAAAAAATAATACTGAGAATGGAGTTGGTTCCGGCGTCCGTTTGTGTCTGTGAAAGAATAAACAGAGCCCCTGCCCTCAGCTTACACATTCAACTTGACGTGTATAAACAGGCAGTATGACACTCCAGAAGAGGAAAAATTTTAGTGCTTGTGTTCCTCTGTGATTTCAGACAAAGTGGCCATTATTATACTAAGTGCCATGGTGATTGTCAGTAGGATAGATTTTGTCTTGTAGTGAATTCGTTTCGCTGTTTATCTGGAGTGTTTTTGTTGTATTTTATATACCGTGGCAGTCACTGTGTAGAATTCTGACATGACATGTCTGATGTTGTGCCTGTCCCCAAAGACTTTATTTGTTAAAGGGGAAATCCAAGAAGTGAAAGTAAGCTTGATATTTGATTAACTTCTGGGGATTTTGTAGGCAGATTCTATGGCATTTGGAAAACTTAGATGTTGTATGATGTAAGGAAACTTGGGTGACTTCAGGTCATTGATCTTCAAGGGTAATGTCATACACTCATATTTTTCTTTTAAATAAATATTATAGGAAATTCCCTCCGGTTAGTTAATTTTAGTTGTTGTAAACTAGAGGCTGGTGGTTCTTCTTTCTCAAAAGTATGTAATTTAAAGAAATGACAGCAGAAGTCTCTTTTTTCAAAGATTTAAGTATTTAAATCTGATCATATATTTGTACTACTTGCTGTCACAGGGGCCAAGGTTTATGGGGAGGAATTGAGGGATTGTATTTGGCCAGTATTTATTTGCTTCGAACCTGGGTATTTTGGTCTATAATATATTTAAAGTGGAAAAGGACAGTATTTCTTATGTTTTATCCTATAATGCTTGCCTCTAAGTACTTCCTTACCACATGTATTGTCTTCAGGTGGTGCCTGGATAGCTTCTGGCCATCCTTTTTCAGTGTGTTGGGCTTGTCATTTAATCAGTTGGGTATGAATGACTCTTTCAGAAAGGCTGGTTTGCATTTCTCCTTTACTCACTTCTGTGGCAGGGCAGTGCTCACCCTTTTTAGGGGAAAAGTTACAGCAGAGTTGTGCAGAAGGTGTCGCTCAGGGGGGGCTTGCTTGGCTGACTTCACAAGACTGCATCATGGTGGCATTTACATTCATGGATTTACCACTGTCTTCCTGTTGGTATTCAAACTGGGGTCAGAAACTAAGTATTGTCCAACAGTTGGTGCTTTGCAAAGCAGCTCTCTTTAACAGAGCTCATGAGAGCTTTTGTTTAAAGCCAAAACATCCATTTATTAATTTATTCCTGGACTATCTGTCAACAAGCCAGACAGTTGTGTTGGGTCGACTAGACCATTACACTCCCTACTGTTGTTAGGCTGAGAAAGGAGCCAAATTGTGAGGTGCTTTTCAGTGAGAACAGAATCAGGACACGGCAGAGTAGTTATGTGATGCCAACATTTAATAGCACTGAGCTCCGACAGCCTTATGGATACATTTCTAGAATTGGATGTGGGGTGTGTGTTTATAAGTGTTGAGTTGGCTGAAAAGTTTGTTTAGTTTATTCTGTAAAAATAAGACACATTTTTCATTTTCACCAATAACATTGATTTGGATAAATTGAGTATGTGGGCTTTCTCCCACTATTGGCTTCTAGTGGGCAGAGGCCCGGGTGCTGCTAAACATCTTCCAATGCTTAAGACAGTGCACAACAAAGAATTCTTTGGCCAAAATGTCAATAATGCCAAGAAATTTTGCAAACCACTTTTGACATGTACAATCGGTCACTGCACCTGCTCCGTCCACTGCACAAACCTTTTTCGTTTTTCCCTTTCTTGAAATGATCAAAGATAATATGCCAAAAATGTTGTGTATCTTTTCCCATCTTCCATATGAAAATGGCTGCACAAAAATTCACCGATTTTGATTTTTTCTAAATGCACACATATGACAGCTGTGACAATACAGTCTAACAAACTTGTTTGGAAGGAGGTTAAAGACAACGAAGCACTGCTGGATCCATCAATGGGAAAAATGGAACAGACTTTTTGGCCGACTCATTACTTAGGTATTGTCAGGTGTGTCAAATACTCTTCTCTGGACTACAATCAGCCTATTACTCTAGTTGCTCTTTTTGACTCCTCACCCACTTCAGGTGGGCACTGTCTTGAGGTATGTTGATGAAATCAAGTTCCAGTTAGATCTTTTGGGGCATGGATGATTGGGACTCCCAGTGACTTCACACAGCTCCACCGTGATCTGTGGTAATTTCAGAATTGCATTCACTGGGAACAGTCTAATTTTTTTCCATTTCATTTTGTGGTGTGTGTGCAGGGGTTCCTTACTTTTGCTCCCAGGTGTAATCAGTTAGTTTCTCCAGGTCACAGTTTGAGTAGCTTTTGACTATACATTTGAGCTCTTTCCCTTGATTTGCTATTTATAGAGGAAAGCAGGAACTGGGGGGAAAAAAACCAAACATTACAGCAAATACCTGATAGCTTCTTTCGCTTTGCTCAAGACCACTGGTGTGGAAGATGTGACTAACCTAAACAACAGCTGAGCTCCTCCAAAACAGGCATTCAGAGTGTCTGGGACGAGCCCAAATCAGCGTTTCCTAGTGCTGGCCCTGCGGGACATACGTTTCAAGTGGCACGATGGATGGGCTATGGAGCGACGCCAACCCGGGCGATTCATCAAGATTAATTGGAAGAGTTCAGAAGGGACCTTTGACAAACTCTTCAACATTTTTTTAAATTTTATTTTTGAAATATATAATCTTCGCTAAATGACAGACCCTGAAGGTTGATTGGTTTATTTGGAGAAGAAAATGGCTGTGCTTACGAGGCATCTATTTATTATTTAATTTTGCCCACTGTTCTTCGTATCAAAACAGTTTGCATTGTTTCTTGTGAGCATGAGCAGCAGGAGACATTTGTGTTTCCACAGTTCCCCTGTGAAGCACACTGTGGCCCTCTTCCAGGTTCAGCGCTTGCTCTTTAGGTGAAACCGCCGTCTTTTTACTAGGGTTCATTCAGGTAGCATTTAAAATGAGAATTAGGCTCCAAGCCATGCCCCTTTGATGTGTAACGACTTGTTGGGAAGATGGTTTAGCTCCAGTACACTTCAGGATGGCTTTCTCCAAAATTCTGCTCAGGGTATTATTTTCCTAGTATATCTAGGTTTATTTGTTTGTTGGTGATTTGTTTGTTTGATTGGTGTTGCCCAACGTGCTTCATTGCTTTGAGGAGAGAGTGGGTCCCACCAGAAGGGAGGAGGAGGAGGACCCTCGCTGGGAGTCTGCAGTTTGGATTCTGGCCCTGCTGTTAATTAGCTGCCTGAGCCCAGGCACATTGGCCTGCCAGGGTCTCTATGTCTTCATCAGGAAAACAGTGGGCTTGGAAAAATACATACGGGCCTGGCCCACATAATAAGAAAGGTCACCCTGTGTACTTAGAGTTGTGGGGTCTGTGGATGGTAGTGCATCGAGACTCTGTGCTTCTCAGTGATCCCCACAAAGCCTGTGGTTGGTCTGGGGTTGAGAGGCCGTGTAGGGGGTTCCACAGAGGCCGTCTGAAGCTCTCAGGCGAACTAGGCAGGTTTGGAAGTGCTGCTGTATGTAGGAGTTCTCCCTCCCTTCCCAGCTCTCTCTTCTCCTCTTTCTTCATTCTTTTTTCTTTCAGGAGAAACCTGCTTGCCTTCTACCTTCCTTTCCTTAGTGCCTTAGCAGTGGTGCGGTAGGTAACACAACCCACTCAGGTTTGTTAACTGTTTGGAGTAGTCCATCTCATCTCAGTTAGCGCAGGGAGCAGAGAGCTGAGGGAGACTGCCAAAATGATGAAATAATGGTCCTTTTGTCTGTCTCTTGCTGTCTGGATGGTTTCAGGTTTCATCTTCGGCCTGGGCCATTGTGTTGTTTTTACATTCTCAGTACAACCCTGTTTCAAACTACAGCTGGTTTATTGAAAGGATTCTGCCCTAATGACACTGGCCTGTTCTGCTTTCCTCCCCACCCCGCAGCAGAGTCAGAACTCTTTGTAGTAAAAACCCAGTCGAGTGTGGGCTGTTTGATCATGTCCCCTGACATCAGTTTTAAAATGTGTTCCCACTGTGTTTATTTTGCAATGCTTATAAGGTGTGTTGCTTTCTAATAGTCTTCCAAAACGTTATCCGTGTGGTTGTATAATCAGTAGCACCTGTAAAACATGTTGCCTTTGACCATGTAGCTTCCTTCTTAACCATTATCTTTTTGATTCTCTATTTTAATGTTTTCTTTTGGTTGGGAGGACCCGTGTTCCTATGCCAGACACCTTACAGTAATGTGCCTAGATTTACCCTCATAACTTTAATTAGATGTGGAATGCGGAGAATGCACTGTTGTGGGTTTTTTTTTAACTTTTATAGTTAGTGAACTTGTGATCGCTTCATTAACAGTTTCAAAACACTCGTGTCTTTAGCATTTAGTCCCCCATTTTTATTCATAAAAAATTAATGTGATGTTCAGGGTTCCCTTGTATTATCTTAAAAGATGTGTTTGTTTGAACACAAGTTACCACTTGTGTCAATATGCAAGTTATATTCTAACTTTCGGCTCTATTCTCTCCCTTCCTTTTGTTTTTAGAAGTGAAGAAGTATTGAAGATGTTGAAGGCTGTGCTGAAGAAGAGCCGAGAGGGAGGAAAGGGAAGCAAGAAGGAGACAGGTGTGTGCCCGGGAGTAAGCTGGGTGGGGCAGGCGTGGTGGGAGTCAGGGCATCAGGGCCCTGTTCTGGGCCGGTGGACGTCACTGCCCGGGAATGGGTTGTCGAGAAGTGGCAGGCACTAGACAACAGCACACTGGTGCCTGTGGGAATGAAACACATTTTTACATTTTGTAGAAGTGACTTTGAAAGCTGAGTTTGGGTTATGAACCAAACCCCTCTTGCAGACTTGTAAGGTTCATAATTTTAACAGGTCATTCAGATCCGGAGTTCAAGTTCTGGATGTTGTGGGATAGCATGTGTGTCCAGGAATTTGGTTTCTAGGAAACCTTTTCCCTTTTCCCACACACAGTTGCAGCTTATGTGTTCGACCATCTGCTGGCTGACAAGGCCTCATCTTCTGAGTATCAGATTATCCCCTTAACAGGTGTAGCCTCACTCATTGCCAAACTGCTGGTTTTGCAGTTTGATGAGAGCTAAGTACTTAATTTGGCCTGGATTTCACTTCTGTCTGTAGAGTGTTGGGACGTGTATCAGTGTGACTCTCCATTGCAGTCCCTGTGATGAACTCTCCTCCCAAGGTTATTGTGGTGGCCACTCAGTATTCCACCCTGTTTCCCTTGCTAGAGAAACTACATATCGTCTACCTGTACTGAACAATAAAATCCCGTTAGCATGGGTTAATCTCCCTGACATGTGCCATTTCACCCTAAATTCATGTGAATCCAGAGTCAGAGAATGGCTGGTTTTCCAAATTATTGCATGTTGAATAACATCTCAGTTCTTGATTACCCAAATATCACTGAGTTATAGTTAACTCCTTACTGTAAGAGCTCTTGTAATACCTTGTGTTGATATTGTTAATGTCTATTGTTTTTGTACTTATAGATAAAGCAGATTTACAGACTTTTTGACTTTGGAACCTAGACAAATTCTTTATTAGTTAACCATGAAACCAAGTCTGCAAAGTGGCAAACTTACCCTAAAAGTCCAGTTTTTGTTGTAAACTTGCTGTTAAGATTCTGTTAGAAGCATCTCATTAATGTCCAAGTAAGCAGATAGAAAGAAGAAACCAGCTTTTATTGACACACACAGGATACCATAGTTAGCTCTTAACCTTAGAAAATCAGCCCCTAGCTATGAATAATTTTCCTATGGAGAATTTTCAGTTTACATAATTCCTATCCAGAGGGGCATTCACCCTATGTTGGATGATGGCCAAAGTATGCTTGTCTTTATTTTTCTGAAATCAGTTAAAGGAATCTTTTTTTTTTCTGTTTTGTCTCATCTGAAACTCATCCTGGGGGCTTTGTTGTTTGCTGCTTTAGATGCCTTTGTAATTTTAAGCACAGAGTTAGATCCTAAGCTCTCTAGCTAGAGCTACCAGCCAATGATCAGGGTCTCCAAGCCAAAACTCCACACTTAGTACCAGTCTTTTACAACAGACTACCATCCTTTATGGCCAGTCCAGACATGCAAAATAACAGAATATGATTTTCAGCAACCTGCCTTTTGGATAGGCCACAGAACGAACATAGTTTACATATGGAACTTTCAGTTGTAGAACATGTGATTTTGGGTTCAATTCCCCCTTTGGTCATTAAGAGCAACTACTGTTTCTTTGGAAACATTTTTTTATAATAAGTCCCACACTATGGCTTTTACTAATGCAAACCAACTTGAAAAATCAATGGGAACCTTTCTCATAAAACATCTGTATGGTATGTGCCTTTTTCCTTTTAACTAGAACCCAGTTATATTAGTTGGGGAACAAAGCAGATGGAATTTTAAATATTGAAGTTATATCACAAGATGATTGGGGAAAATACTTGGAATTTGACCATTCATATGCTCAGCTCTGTGCCAACTCTCATTATATAAGTAAATCATAGCTAAGTTTCTCCATAAATTGAAGCTGGCTAATCTGCTGAGACTGCTCTGAAACTTGGGTTATAGTATCTCCTGCAATATGGAAAAATTTTCCTCTACTGTTCCCAATTAAAAACAATCTTTGTTGCAAACACAAGGGAAAATTCATTGTTATGTATTTAACTCTCATAGAAGTATAGGAAATATTTCAGTCTAAAATATTGAGTTATGCTTTCCTATCCTTTGTGGATTATTTTTGGCAGACAATTTTGAACGATACTTTTATGTTGAACCTATTTTTAAGAATTTAGAAAATAATCACTGACTTAAATATAGCATTCTTCAAATGAAAGCAAGTATGTTTCATAAGTACTGAAAAGTTATGTCCTCAGCTCTTACCCCTAAATGAAGATGTCACATGTACATACTATAAACTACTGGTGAAATGTTAGCAGGTAATGACACTCGAGTTATATGTATGTAAAAGTTTTTGAAATATTATGTATAGTGAGATATTAAATTGTTGAAAGCCATTGCATGAACTCTAAAAATATCCAAAGTCTTTTTTATGATTATGCTTTTTTACCTAGGAATTGCTTAAAGCTGAGCAAAAAAATGTTTTCTGGAGGCTATAAAATCACACCAGAGAATGTAGTATTAAAAGCTTTAGCCCTGGCTGGTGTAGCTCAGTGGATTGAGCATGGGCCTGCGAACCAGACAATCGCGGTTCGATTCCCAGTCAGGGCACATGCCTGGGTTGCAGACCAGTTCCCTGCAGGCCAATTCCCAGCAGGGGACGCATGAAAGGCAACCATACATTGATTTTTCTCTCCCTCTCTCCTTCCCTTCCCCTCTAAAGATAAATAAATAAAATCTTAAAAAAAAAAAAAGCTTTAGAATGTGTTTTGAGAAAGTAAATTTGCCTTGTCTTCATTCCATCAGGGTAAATGAGCACTGTCTTTCTCTTGACCTTGACTTGGGCGGGGGTAGGACTAAGGGTACCAAAATCAATATTTAAACCATAATGTGGGGAGTGCCAGGTTGAGGGCATGTATTTTTTTCTCTCCATGCTGTTGTGTTAGGACCTTGATCTAAAACAAGCAAACGAGGTGTTATCTTTATTTTGAAGCTCCCTGGGGAGGCCTACAACCTTCTACGACATTTCTTTATTTTATGTGACCTTTGCTATCAGAACACTTTCATGTTACTATTACTAAACTTATTTAATTTGAATATGAAATAATTACTACATTCTAAGAGTGGGAGTATCCTGATGTTAAATCTGGGCCTAATAAGATTTAGAGTGAATATAAGAGGAAATTGGTATCTTTTCTGTGCAGCAGCACTGTTTAGCAAATGAATAGGAAAAAGGAGTCCCATTTCATAATAGAAACAAAAAAATTAAAATGTCAACCTGAGAAGAAATGTTCAAGCCTCATATTGAAGAAAATACTAAAACATTACTGAAGGACCTGAATAAATGGAGAGAAATACCATATTCCTGCATAGGCAAATTAATTTTTTAAACCACTAGATCTTAAATGTTTTCTGTACATTTCATTTAATCTCTAATGATATCCTCTTTTTTTTTTTTTGAAGACTTTATTTTCTTAGAGCAGTAGGTTCACAGAAAAATTGGGAAGGAAGGTACAGAGATTTTCTCTACACTCCCTGACTCCACTCCTACACAGTTCCTTTCATTATTAACATCCCTCCTCAGAGTAGGACATTTGACAGCTGGTGAACATCCATTGGCATATCATCACTGCAGTCCATAGTTCACATGAGGGTTCACTCTTGGTGTGATACATTATTTTGGTTTAGACAAATGTATAATGAAATGTACTCGCTATTATAGTATCATATAGAGTATTTTCATTGTTCCCAAAATCCTGTCATTTTTCTGAACACAGCATAACCAGTGGACTTAAACATTTATCTGAAAGACTAAATGTTCAAGAATAGCCAAGAAAATTGCATATGTGGGGCAAGTGCATCTAAATGATTGAGCCTGGTTTTCATGCCTGGGTTCTAGCTGCAAGAGATGCTGGGCAAGTGTGGTATATTTGGACTTCTTCACTTTGGTAGGGTAAGGTGGACTTTACCTTCCACCAAAATGTGCATTGGAGATGATATTTCAGTTATAGACATTGGACAGGTCCCCTCTGCTTCAAAAAAGAACCAAGCACAGAGATCTAGTATAGCTCATATATAACTGCTGCTCGGGGTAGCCAGCCTTTTGGTGTCTCTTGACCACACTGGAAGAAGAGTTGTCTTAGGCCACACGTTAAATACACAAACACTAATGAAAACTGATGAACAAAAAAAAAAAGATTTTAGGTAAATTTACAATTTTGTGTTGTGCGGCATTTATAGCCATCCTTGGCTGCATGCAGCCCATACCCCATGGGCCATGGGCTGGATAGCCCTGATGGCTTAACTAGTGTTTTGGACCTTTTTTTCCCCTGTTGGTCTTCAAGAAATGAATGTAATTGTATCTAACATCAATGCTATAATCTAAGCCCACAGTTGGTCGTGTTTTTGTTTTTAACCCTGGAGATAATGACATCATTTCGGAATGACTAGAGAAGACCTCTTGCCTTCCTAGAGAGGGTTGGTCCTTCTCCCTCTCTGTGCAGCCCTTCTCCTGCCCTCTGCCAGGCGGGAATCCATAGTCCTTTGCCCTATGCACCTCTCCTAGTTACTACCTATTGGTTTGGAAGTAGCTTCAAGTTGGGCAGAAGAGCAAAGGTCAGTGAAATTTTAATTGTGGTCCTGCCTCAATTAAAAATATAGACTGGTGAAGGAAAGGTTGCTTAATATACCAAAATAATTATTAGTCTTTTCAGTCTAATTATCTGTGTTTTTTCCCCAGCAGGGGGCCTTAGTTTGAAGCAATTTATTTTTTAAAAAAATTGACCTTCACCTTTTCATTGTTAAAACCCAGCTGGTTGGCTAAATACACTTGTAATGGTGTTAATTAAGGCATTGGATAGTCTCTAAGCTTGAATGTGTACTGAATTAATCTGTTAGCTTTGCATCTAATCCTTCACTTTGAATTTGTAGTAAAAGGAAGCTGTTTGCCTCTAAAGTTTAAAAGCCATTGATGTGATTGTTAAATGTGGTATTTTAAG